CGTTAAAAGGAGATGTATGTGTAATACGTAGAGTGTCTCTATTTAAATGTAGTTCGGTGAAAGAAAATGATTGTACATTAATTTCAAACCCAAATGTGAACCAAAGAGTTTGTCCTGTTTTTGGTTAATAACTGTAAGTGTTTCAATTATTTTTAAAAATAATCACATTTATTTCTTTGTCTCTTTTGGTCTTTAGGGAACGAGGGGAACATATTTCAGATTGATGAGGAAACGGGAAACATCACCATGACGAAGGCTGCTGACATTGTGGGCCCCATCATCCTCACCGTTCTGGTCAGAATAAATACAAACCCCGGCAAAACTGATGGAAGCTAAAGTCCTCCAGAGGGCAGTTGGGTCTCCTGGCTGTGTGTGATGGTCTGGCTCTGCCCCCCAGGCGTCCCAGGTGACCAACAGGGACCAGTTCGCGGTGACTCAGGTGGCCATCGAGGTGATGAAGAAGAGCAGGAACGCCCCCCGCTTTGAGAAGGAGCGATACGAGGGATTCATCTACAGCAACTCCGTCCCAGAGAGCATGATCCTCCGGGACCGCAGCACCAACCGGCCCTTCAGGGTCCGGGCCCGGGACGAGGACTTCGCCGGGGTGGGTCCCGAGATGTATGAAGTACTGGAGTAGAAGTACAAGTACTGTATAAAAAAATTGACTTGAATAAAAGTAGAAGTGTTCTTTCAACACCAGACTTAAGTGGAAGTACAGAAGTACGCCATTTTTTTTACTTAAGTATTGCAAGTAGAAGTATTTCAAAAATTACTACTCAAGTATCTAAAGTACAAGTATAAGTAAAAATACAAGTACTGTGTATATAAAAAAAGGCGGTCAAAAGTGTGATAGATATTGTTTATAATATTTCAAACGTGTGAAAGGCCATACAGGTGTTTACAAAAACAGAAAACTACATCTGCATTAGCATCAACAGCACTTCATCTACTATTATTTATTATTGCAGAGTCAGAATCCTGAGCTGAGCCTTTATGCTAGCATGTAGCATACAGCTAGCCAGCTAGGTTAGCTTTAGCTAACGTTAGCATGGTTGTGTGTCCGTCAGGGCGTGAACCCGGACCTGAAGTACGAGGTCCAGTACAGCAGCTACGTGAACGTGACGGCCGACGGCTTCGTGGTTCTGAAGAGAGTCGTGAAGACGGAGTCGTTCGCCCTGCAGGTGACTGAGAGCCCAGCGGGTAGAACAGTCACCGGAAGCACCTGTAGCTTTACATTCACTCAACAAAATACCATAGGAAAATAAATACAAAACTAGACAGCTTATTTTTAGTAGGCATTTGAATTGACCTTTTCTGAGATGTTTGGTGGTTCTAAATGAAGCGGTGTTCTGTATGGCGCCTTTCCAGATGAATTGGTTGGTTGATTGATTGATTTACTGATTGGTTGGTTGATTGATTGATTTGCTGATTGGTTGGTTGGTTGATTGATTTGCTGATTGATTGGTTGATTGACTGATTTGCTTATTGGTTTGTTGGTTGATTTGCTGATTGGTTGGTTGGTTGGTTGGTTGTTTGGTTGGTTGATTGATTGATTAATTTGCTGATTGGTTGGTTGATTGATTGATTTGCTGATTGTTTGGTTGGTTGATTGATTGATTGATTTGTTGATTAGTTGGTTGGTTGGTTGGTTGGTTGGTTGGTTGGTTGGTTGGTTGGTT